CGCGCGGCCACCCGAGGCCGCTGAGAAACCGCCTTCCTCCGGGATCGGGCTGTGGCCGTGGCCGGCGCAGGACTAGGGGAAGGCGTGGAGCCCCGTGCGCCCGGAGCCCCAAGTCCGCAGGTGGCGGTCGTCTCTGGGAGCCCGCAGGCTGCTGGCGGAGGCAGGGCCCCTTCCTCTGGGGACCCCAGTTTGATGGGGGAGACATTAGGGCAGCTATGGCATAAAGCTGGGGAGTAAAGTTCAGAGCGTGGGTGCTTATATGATGTCATCAAATATTTCCAACTTGCTTTTCAGATTCAGTCCATCCATCTATAACCCCGCCAGCTCATGTGATTAGGTCGGGCCCACCAAGGATAATATAATATCTCTTTCTTAAACTCCTGTGTGCCACACAGCATGCCATAACCATGGGAGGATTATNGACATTAGGGCAGCTATGGCATAAAGCTGGGGAGTAAAGTTCAGAGCGTGGGTGCTTATATAATGTCATCAAATATTTCCAACTTGCTTTTCAGATTCAGTCCATCCATCTATAACCCCGCCAGCTCATGTGATTGGTCGGGCCCACCAAGGATAATGTAATATCTCTTTCTTAAACTCCTGTGTGCCACACAGCATGCCATAACCATGGGAGGATTATCCCATCATACTGGCAAGTCCCGCCCACACTCAACAGGAGGGAATTAAACAAGGGTGTGGGTCATTGGGGTCATCCTAGAATGCAGCCTGCCACAGTCCAGCCTCTGGCCTCCAATGACTCACGTCCCTTCCAAATGCACGTTACATTCATCACATCCCAAGGTTCCCAAGAGTCCAATCCCTTTACAGAATCGACTCAAAATTCAAAATCTCATCATCCAAATCTAGATATCATTATCTTATCAGCTCCAAGTTCACAATCACATCATCTAAATCCTGTAAATCTGGTATGGATAAGGTTCTTCGTTGTAATCCATTAAATACAGCTCCCGAGCACAATTTTTCCCTGTCTGTGGACCTATGAAACTNGGTTCATACCAGTTTTTATATCCTACTGGGCAAACTCCATTAGGTTTCAAGGCCTGGGGGGAAAACTGTCTGACTCTCAGCTCTGCACGTTGGAGTCTTGGCCATCCTTTCTTTTTACGGAAAGTAGCACATGTTTTCATCTCAGTAGTTCCATCAGCTTGCTTCCCGCAAGTAGAATTTGGGGGACCCACTTTGCTCTTGTGCTTTCTCTGTCTCTGTAAGTACAAGCTGGAAATGTTTCTGCTCGACATAAACATCTGAAGAACCTGTGATCCTTGCGTGGGTTTCACCAGGTTTCACTTCGTTAGACAAAGCCATATCCACAGATCGTTTTGAGATAATCCCTTCTCTTTGTGAGCCTCCTGCTGAGATGATAGAGGACCATGCCCTTAAGTGTCCTAGAGGACCTCTGTTGTGATTGAGAAGACCCGTGAGGAATGTGTGGTCTCTTGAAAGGACCTTTCGTTTTACCAACTGTTCTCACCGCTTGGTCTTTCTGGGGTCTTTCTTAGTGGAAATTGTACAGTCTCACACTCAGCCTTTTCCCTATGCCATGGTTTCAGCAGCCATTTCTGACTTTCAGCATCTTTTGACATCTGGAGAGGCTGAGATTTTCAAAATCATCAGTCCTATTTCCTTTCTGTTTAACAGTTATCTTCTTAGCTTTCCTCTCTCCTCTCACATTTTGCTATAAGCAGCAAGAAAAACTAGGTAGCACTCAAAGCTTTGCTTAGAAACCTCCTCAGCCATATATGCAACATGTATGGCAGCTTGCGTTACACACAGCTGCAGTACACAGTTTTTGCCATGGCATCATTAGGACCTACTCCTCTCTTCCATTTTTAATAATGTGTTCCACGCTTTCTTCTGAGCACTCATTAATAGCATCCTTAAAGTCCAGACTTCTACTCACAGTCTTGTGCAAGGAAATTCAGGCTTTCCCTAAGGTGATGTAAGTTTTGTTTATGATGTTTGTCAAAATTCTTCCAACTTCCACCCTGTTTCAAAGCCACTGATACATTTTTAGGTATTTGTTATGGCAGCACCTCATTCCTGGAACCAAAATTTCTTTCTTTTTTTTTTTAAAGATGACTGGTGAGGGGATCTTAACCCTTGCCTTGGTGTTGTCAGCACCACACTCACCCAAGTGAGCAAACCGGCCATCCCTATATGGGATCTGAACCCGTGGCCTTGGTGTCATCAGCACTGCACTCTCCCAAGTGAGCCACGGGCCAGCCCTTGGAACCAAAATTTCTACTAGTTTTCTATTGCTGTGTAACAAATTACCACATACCTAGTGGCTTAAAACAATACAAAATTGTTATTACACAGGCTCAACTTGGTTCTCTGTTCAGGGTCTCACACTCAAGGTGTCAGCTGGCTGCACGCTTACTGGAGGCTCTGGGGAAGAATCTATGAGGGGTCTTTAAAAAGTTCATGGAAAATTCAAATTATGAAAAACGTCATGGATTGCAAATTTTTTTTGGCATCAAAATAAACTTGTACTAACTTGTTATTACATGTCTGAACAGGATCTAGTTTGAGGCACTAAGAAGCATAAGACATCAGTTTGAAAAGAGCCCCTATCAGAGCATCATGAATTCTGTTAAAATTGAAGCAAGAACAAACATCAAATTTCTAGTGAAGCTTGGGTGAAAGAATGGTGAAATCATTGATGCTTTATAGAAAGTTCACAGGGATAATGCCGTAAAGAAATCAGCAGTTTACGAATGGATAACTTGTTTTAAGAAGGGATGAGACCGTGTTGAACTGTAAGCCTGCAGCAGCAGACCATCCACATCAGTTTGTGAGGAAAAAATATATCTTGTCCATGTCCTAAATGAAGAGGACCAACAATTAACAACAGAAACAATAGCCAATACCATAGACATCTGATTGGTTCAGCTTACACAACTCTGACCGAAAAATTACCATTGAGCAAACTTCCCCTTCAATGGGCACCAAAACTGTTACACCCGGATCAGCTGCAGACAAGAGGAGAGTTTTCAATGGAAATTTTAAACAAGTGGGATAAAGACCCTGAAACATTTCTTCCAAGAATTGTAACAGGAGATGAAACGTGGCTTTACCAGTACAA